TTTGTAATTCTTATATAAAAATATCTGCAACCCTCCAAAGATATATCAGCATTTTTATAGGCCCATTGTGCCTTTATCCTCAAAATCCTCAAAAAAATAATAAGATATTTAAGAAGAAAGGCATAAAATTTTTTGCGATGCTAATGCAAAACTAAATTCAGCGTTAATAAAACGGATTTTTTGGCTTTATTTATATTCAAAAAAATATATATATCCATGCAGCACAAAACAGTTAAATGAGTTGGAAAAAAATGTCATGAATGAAGCCATAAATTTCTTGGCAATGTCTGTTTTTCACCTTTCTGCGGTATTTTATGTGAATGATGACATTTGGAATTTTTACAGATGAAAGCGCTGATTTGTTAAAGCAGGTATAAACATTTTGTTTTTACAGCTGCAGTCTTAAAAGATGCTTCTTGTTGCTATGATTGAAATATCCTTTTGGAATTAATCTTTTGTTTTTGTTCAATTTGTTGAAAGAAATTTGAGAATTTTCACATTTTAAAATTCTATGAAAAATTGCTTTTGAAATCAGATGATTTTTTTTAAAACAAATTTCTTTCAAACCTTCTGAGAACTTAATTCAATTTAAAGGATAATGATGCCCTGGAGATATAGCAGTAGGCGACAGAAGCAGAAATGAATTATTTTAATTTTTAAAAATCGTGTTCTCTGAACTAAGAAAATCAAATATTATTTTTAAAAATAAATAATGAAAAACGAAACGAGTTTAGGGGTCGTTCACTTATGACGTCCATCAAAAAACCTGATTTTTAGACCCCCCCTCCCTCCCCCTCTGTCACAAAAATTCTATAGAAAAAAATTTCCATTGTTTAAACTGTCACAAAATTCTAGATCCCCTCCCCCCCCCCCTAAATGTCGGACGTCATAAGTGAACGGTCCCTAATGGAAAAGGTGTAGCAATGGCAACCTTTTGACTTGGATCTGAATTTAAATTTTTACCAACACGTGGTTATAATTGAGAGTCGCAATATATTTGAAATGATGAATATTACAGAATTTAAAGACTTACATGAATTTTTAAACATCAAACAAAAAATCCAAAAATATCTAAAGACTTCAACAAATAGACACAAGGCTGTATTAAGCTCATTTCTATTCATTTGTACAAACAGCCAAAATTGTGACGATGTCAAGACTCTAATTGAGTGAAATGTACAATTCATCAGAGTTAAAAGTCAAATCTTTGATGCGAACAAGTGAAGATGAATAATGACAAAAATTTTTGCGGTTGATTCTTCTTCAAATATTTCCCCAAACCCCATTGAAATGATTCACAACTTGAACTGATGAACTGACTTATAATTGAGCTCACATCTGTTCAGCATTAGGCTTTTAAAGAGGGTAATAAAGGCTGAGGATGAAATTTTTATGTGTTTTGCGGAATTAGAAAGAAGTGCAAATAAGAAAAGGGTGGAAATTTATCGCTTCTTATTTTTCAAGTTCTATGGAACAGAGAGTGGCGTCAAGGAAGAAGTCAAATGTCCTTGTGTCTTTAAGATTGTCATTAAGAATGCAAACAGGTTTGAGGTAAGCGGAATGGTTGTTGATTCTCAAAACTTCATCTTATATGCAAGAGCCTAGTGTCTAATCGAACCCCCTTTAAATTGGATTCTATTCTACTTTCCAGAGGCTTCGACCTTATAATCTTCCTTTTGCTCTATCACTTCAATATGTTTCAATGTATAGATTATAGCTTTAAACATAAAATTGTTTTTACATTCCCCAAGAGTAAAATTAATCGTTAACAACAATGTAACAGCAACATCAACTTCTACATAACTGAACATCTCATTCAATGAAAAGTTAATTCTCCTGTAAAAAACATTTTTCAACGGACAAAGTAATTTGAAGCACATCGCAAGCTTATATTTTCCAATTTGTATTACTGAGCATTTGAACTTTTCTTCATTTTTCCCACTCCGTTTTTAATCTGCCACAAACAACATTTTGCAATAATTTATTGTTGCCATCCCAAATAAGTACGAATACTCTTCTTTTTATTGTTGTACATAAAAAAAAAAAAAAAAAAAAAAAAAAAAAAAAAAAACCTTTACCTATTCAGATCAATTGTGATCCAGAGGTGCGCTAGGGCGATTCGCAGCTAATGAGAGTTTAACGAGTGAGGATGCGCCAAACCACTGCACTCAAACTTAGACCTACAATTTATAGTGGGATCCGAACCACTCCTTTGATGACATTTCTGTCTGTAGCCTACAAAGGAAGGCTGTGAGCCTCATTTCCAGTACATATGATTCAAAAAAGGACAAGTGAAAAATTTCCCATACCCAGTTTCGAACCCATGATCGCTGTGTCGGTATTGCAATAATTAGGTACCGAAGTACTAAACCATTCCGCCACCGAGCCACTTCAGCTCACTGTACATATGCCTGAACAAAAATATCTTTATTTTTATGCTTTCAAACTCATATACATAAACCTATACGATGCTCCCTTTTTTTGTGTGAAATGAATTTGAAAAAGCGTACACAGCAGTGCAGCCATAAAAGCCTTTTCAAATATTACGAGAAATTTCAACCCCCGCTCCTTAAATCACACAACATCACGTATCCTTTAAAGTTATTTCCAGTGACAGCAAAATAAAAAAAAAAATTGCGACATTCCACTTTTATACTCCCGGAAATACTATCGAAGTGCAGAGTAAATTTCATTGCGCTATAAAAGCCGTTCATAAAAAAAACTTGGGTAGAATCAATACGATAGTAGAAAAAGAGAAAGAGGAAATAGAGTTTCAAACTGTTGAGAAGAATTTTTACAATTAAAGTGTGCTGCAGCAGTGATGTTGGAGGTTTTGTAGGGCTTGTGAATTAATTTTGTCAAATGAGAAGAGCCCCATCAGCCCTACACTGACTAATTGTCATAAATTTGTTAACATATGTGATGAAATATGAGAATTAAGTGACTGGAAGTGAATCGCTAATTTATTCACTTAAAAAATCATAACTTTAGTCAATAGCTAATGAAATAATGGGGTTAATTTCAAACCAGAACGACTGTTTGATGTGAAATACCCATTGTGACTCAAATGACTGGTTCATTAATGTCCCTGATCGGAATTCAAAGTTCTTTCGTTGGGCTCAAGTCCCAATTTAGTAAATCCTATTCCATTTATGCTTGCATTATTTGAGTAACTCTTCAAAATAAAAACGTAACAACTGAACAAACCCCGAACATTTTGAACACAGAACAATATTTCGTTTGAAACCGTTCGAGTATGAAAAAAGTCGTTGTTTGATCCTAGGTATCAAAAACTTACTGCAAGTGCTTTATTGTAAATAAAAAGAGATTAAATATCTTGAGAGCAAAACAAAGAAGAATTGAAGTTTATAATTGCAAAATGTTTCATATGAGAAATTCTCTTCCACGAAGAAGTTTCCACTTGAGTACATTCAATTCATTTAAAGCTTCAAGCTATGACAGAAAATTTGGAAAGAATTACTTCGAAATGTGTCAATTTTGATGAGACTTGTCAATATTTCAACATAACGATGGAAAATGATTCTATTTATTTGACTTGAAATCCTCTTAAAGTCTGGTAAATAAAAAATAAATTGGGGCATTTTTTTGAGAGTTTTCATTCCAAATTGATATTTTTTTTGGTCCACATTTATTTATTTGAGATTGTATCTTTGTGCTATATCCTTCGAAAAGGGTAGAATTTTCGTCCATTCATCTGTGCTTAAGCTCTGTGAAAACACCAAAAAAATTTACACAATTTGAAATTCAACAGATGTGTCTCGTGCTGGATAAATCTGTGACTAATCTAGCAGAATGAGCACACTTAATAAACTTATAAAGAATTTATTTTTTGAAAATTGCTCGGCTAGAAAAATAATTCATATTGTGATTGACCATTGATGCTTTAAAGTAACTCAATTTATTCAGTACTCATGTCAATTTGTTCAGTTTGGACAATTCTCATGTGTTTGTTTGAACAATTCATAAAAGCTACTGATGAGGTAAGTGGTGTAGTCGTGATTTATGGACAAGAAAATTCACAGAATCGAGATAGTGAGTAGGTAAATCTGAATCTTATGAATTATCGCCGTTAAAATGGGGTTAATAAGAATTTATGGTGCAGCATTAAAAATGCGAGTCACTCGCATAAGTTTTTTAAGTTCTGTCGCAAATGAACGTAGCTGGAGAGAACTAGAGGCCACAGACCCGGCGAAACTGAAAAGTATCATAACAATTTGAACTCAATATCAATATAATATAAATCCAAATAATTACAATGTAATACAGCCATGACGCTGCTCTGGCTTAATTAGAATGAATAAAGCAATAATAATAATAATAATAATAATAATAATTGGAAGAAACTCTTACCACGCCCCTATCCTCATCATTTTTGTTTAGAACCCACAATTGGAGCTAAAATCTGCAACCTCCCCTCACCTTAAATAAATCACCAACAATTCGATTAAAAAGTACCACACAGTTCCTGTAGATTCATGCATTTAATAGAACCAGCATGTTCAACATTAATAAATTCTGACATAAAATTATCTATAGGAAATGCCAATGAATAAAATATTTTATTGTTCCAATATAAAATGGCATCATATGATTCCCAATCTACAGCAAATGTTTGACTTTTTTCGCAGGCAAAATCGAAATTATTGAAACGATAAAATGTCAAGTTGGAAGCACATTTTATGGTTTGAAATTTTTCTACACTTTTCGAGATAAGAGAATGACACAGTTTTGTTCAGCTGATAAAGGCAACAGAAAAAGAAGAAGTCGATGAATGTTCAATTTTTATAGCCACATGCCAATTACATGTGTGACAGAGCTCCCAATATTGCCAATTGATAGCGTGTGGAAAAAATGGCTGATAAGAGCTTTTGTAAACCACCAAATGTTGTCACAGAACTGTAAACATATTTTTTCAATGCCGTATGCTGTTTGCTAAAATTTTTTTTTGGAACGAGCAACAAATGTGTAACAATACTTACGTAACAAAGCATTTTTGGTGCTGTTTATTTCTTTTACTGTTATAAAATATTTATATTCTGTCGATTACGTCCATAATCCTTATGAAAATAATAGAAGAATTCCATTCTCAGCTGAATATTCCTTGACATTTGTTGGTGCTTTTTTCATTTACACATCTTAATCTCATTCTGCACGATTTAGAAGTAAACATATTTTTTTTTCTCTCACTTCATTTATAATTCAGCATACAATGATTATAATCACAATTTTGGGAATTAATTCATCCTTTTATTTGCGGTTTTGGTTATAAACGTGCGATAAACTTTCACTTCCCAGGACTCATTAAGATTATGATTTTATGTATTCGTTCATATGTGTCATTAATAATTCTATTTTATCACTAATTTATTTTAATACTTATGTATTATTCTCGGTGGATTATTGTTCATAATGGTGCTTCGTGTTTGAAACAAAGTTTATTTGATGAGCTATGCTGGAGGAGCAGATGAGAAGTTATTTTTAAGGTTATGATTTGATCAGGGTGTAGAAATTAGGATGGGATGTGTCATGTTTTAAGAAATTCTTCTATGGATTAGTATCAAGTATATAGCCAAGAGGATAGGCTTAGCTTGAAATGAGTCTCATCCTCACATATTAGTATTAGGGAGATTCAAAATGATCTGAAAAGTTGGAACTTATCCATTTATTAAGCATTAGAATCCAAAATAAATGGCAAAAATAATTGAGACTTTAAAAAAAATTATGAATTGATCCTTGACCAAGGTAAGTTGATGAGCATCTCTAGAAGCATCTAATGTCTTTCTTATACTTAATTTAAATCTATGCAGATCTATTTTGTATTCGTTAGTGTAAAACATTGATCTTTGCAAGATTATTAAGGAAATGTCATCTAGTCAACCCCTCCAATCAATCCATAAGCTCAAAATTGATCAATGAAACTATAATTTTCTTAAAACACTATCAATATCTCAGGCTATACCAACATATTTTCAAAGTTTAATATTCATGAGCTTCACATTTCGATTTTCATTCCACATTTTAGTCCCCCCCCCCCTCACCTTCCCCCCTCAAACCACATGTAAAATGCGAAAAATATTGAAAACTGTCGTTCATAAAAAAGTGTTTTGGTCATCAGCCATTAAAATTGCAAAAAAGTATTTATAGCCTTTTATCGATACACTCAAAAACATTTTTCTCACATTGCCAATAAATCATCGCCATAAAATGATTAAAAAGATTTTAAGAGCATCAATAAAAATCCAAAAAAAATGATTCGAAAAACAATTTTTAATAAAAGTATTTCCATCATTTTTATGTGTCATATTGCACAAATATGAGATAAGCATTAAGCGAGGACTATAAAAAAGTTTTTTGTTTCTGTAAAAAAGCTCTCTTTTTAACTTTTACATCTGTGCCGAGTACATACACACGCACGTATAGATGAGAGACATAATGTATATGATTCACATGAATCGTAGACCATTAAAGCGAATAAAAGCGCTCATAAATTATTCAATCGTGAAGTGAACGTAAGAACAGAAGAAGCTCTTTTGGCATAAATTTCACTTGATTTTTTATGATCAACGCATTTCTTGTTTTCTAAGCGAGTGAAAAAAAAAAGTTTCTTTGCCTGCTTTATATCTTTATCAAACAAGAATAAGAACAAGAACAAGGCATCAAAAAATGAAGAAACATCATCATCATCATTACCATCATCAAATAAAGTTGAATCTAGTATGCGACTTGTCATCCATGAATCATAATATGGCGAATGAGTAGCATGAATTTTACTCTCTTATGGGCTCCAAGCATGAAGAATGAAATAAAAAATGGAAAAGTTCTGAGTGAAGTATTATTGCTATCGAAATAAAACAGAAAAAGTGGAGGGCGAAAGTTTTTAAAATTGCTTTTTATGCTCTTAGTTGCTCCTTGGGATGTTGTAAATTTTTATACCAAAATAACTTGTTGAATATTTCATATTTTACGGTGCACATAAAAAGTTTTAATATGACACAATGAGAAGATATGAAATATGAAAGGGGTCGTTCACTTATGACGTCCAACATCTAGGGGGAGGGGGGGTCTGAAGCTGTGTGACACCTCAATACAAAAGATTTTTTTTTGTATGAAAATTTTGTAACAGAGGTAGGGGAAGGGGGTCTAAAAATCTCATTTTTGATGGACGTCATAAGGGAACGGCCCCAAAGGAGAATTTATCAATAATGTGGAATAAATTAGCTTCCAAAAGGCATTATTTTGAGATTTTCAGAGACTCTTGAGTAAAATCCGAGTGTTGTTGTCAATTTTTCATGATTTAGTGTGGAAATTCAAATTAACTTTCTTCCATTCGTATTTTCTAAAGAAACCAGATGTGCTTTTGGAAAACGTTTCTCCCCACTTTTTAAGTAATTCGCGATTTAAGTTAAATTTGTCATCAAATTCACCCTTGATGGAGAAAAATTATTTGGCAATTTTTCTCATTAAATCCGATTCAGAGTTGTTAGCTAAATGCTTGACTGAATCAGACTTATGGGTTGAGCAACTAAAGCTTAAGCTCGAAGTAGCATAAGTCGATTAGTAAAATAAAAATCAGGCGCCTAGCTGAAATGACTCTGGTTTCAATTGAAATCCAGCAATTTGCTAGAGTTACATTTGCTAGTGATGAATTTCTAATCGTTTATCCGACTTGTGCCATTCGGGAGAGTGCTGCTACAAATAAGTTTGTAGATTGTCCTATGTGGCTCTTAAAACTGGGTTCAGAACCTTTCATGAAATAGACTATCGTCGATCAAGCAAAAGGTTGGTGTCTATGGCCAGTTTTCAGAGGTATCTAGTCCACCCTTTATACAAAAAAAAATTAATTACAGTCAAGAATCAATAGATTTGCGAGATTTGCCTAAATATCTAGAAATCTGATCAAACAACACTGACTCAAAATGTTTTCATCCACAACAATTTCCCCTAATTCAAAATATCTTCTTCATCATTGAATATGATACATAATTTCATCTCATTTGTTATCCTAAATTTAGACGCACACGAAATATGACTGTATCATTCATAAAGCGTTAAAATGTAATCAGCTCCTCACACACACACAAAACAACAAAATCCTTCAAAATTGATTAAATTTTTCATTCAAAGCTTTTATTTATTTTTTTCACAAACAATCGCTTCTACGTGTCCGCAACGTTGATACTTTAATTTATCAAAACAGTCGTTTTTTCAATGTTTATTTCCCGTGCCTTTTTCACTTAACACTGTGTGATCTACAAAAATTGTATCTCATAAATTAAATTTCTGTGTTGCCTTTTTTTTCACACATCAACGACAACGTTTGCTGTTTTATTCACTATGTTTATTTATTACCAGCCGCATTTCATTCCTCTTTCCCATCTTAATTTTTTTTAACTTGCCAAAAAATATATACTTTATGTCGAGTGACTGAATGAGTGGAAGAAAAATGTTTTGACATTTCTATCGTTGATGTGTTTATGAAAGACGGGAAATGTACACAGGAAAGTGAGAAGACAAACGAAGCTATTGAAAAGTTCAACATGGAAAAATAATTTTTCAAAACTCGTTGCATTTGATGGTTTTGTAGGAAGTACGTGGCATTTAGTATGTTGAAACTATGTTTGTTGTTTTGAATAAACATATAAATATTTGAATTGAACTGAAATGGGGCCATTCGTTGATGATTTCAATTGGAAAACTTGGTTTTTTGTAGATTCATTCAGTAATAGAGGCAAGAAAGTGTTAGAAGCTTATTAAAGTTTGTGGTTAGTTATTTGGACCATACTGAATTAAAGTTTAACAAAAATCTTCAATTTTATTAAAAATATTTGAGAACCACGTGTTCAAGGGGTGTAAAACTAAGTTAAAAACCAATCAAAAATTCATTTTATGGAGCTTGCAAGGGCCATCAACCTACTCTATGCCATTCTTGACGCATTCCATAATGTTTTTATACCCCATACCGTGAAATTTAACTCATCTCCAAACTCATCACACCTCAAAAGATCCTAGACATAATTCCTTAACACCCCCATTTTGAAGCTGTCACTAAATCCCAGCACAGCATCCACTCCGCTAAGGGGTGTGTCGGATTTCATGAAATTTCATAATTAAATGAAAATAATGTAAAATATTAATTAACTTTAATTAAACTAATTTATTTGCTGTCCAGTAAATGCAATAACTTCACATTTTTAGCAGCTTTTGTTTGGCAAATAAAACATAAACAACATGACTGTTAATTATAATGGCGGTTTAACAGCTTGTTATGCTTCATTTGCAATTAATGATGAGTAATTAAAATCGCCAATGTGAAATAGGAGCTGATAAAGTGAATAGCTGAATTTAGAATGAGGAATCATAAGTGCCTTTAGGAGAAAAATATTATATTTCAGTGATAATGCTTCTGGGAATGTATATTTGATGAGTAAACATTATTTCACTTAATTGGGTACTGCATGATAATGAAAAAGTTCTGAAGATTGCTTCTGTTTATCCTTTTTTGTTGTTGTTGATGTTTGGAATTTCAATTAAAACCGTTTTCATGGAAAAAGTTATTTTTAGAAGATGTAGATTTGTGTTACACAAGAAATGATAAAGTGGATTTGCCGAAAATTCTGAAAAATGATTTATTTCCTATTCCCGCGAATGTATCATTTTTGTTTGGATTCTTTTAGTCGGATTTATTGCAAATTCTTCTAGGAAAATACAATGAAATTTTTTTCGTTATACAGCGGAAACAGTGAAGCTTTGATGTGCATTGTTGAGTCGATTAGGATCATGCCATTAAATATGAGTCTACTTTGGTACGAAGAAAAATCAAAGCTTTGCTTCGCAATAGATTCAAACCTTAAAAATCATCAAATCACAAGAATCCAAACTATTCTAGTGAAGCTCTTAATGTAAAGCTTTCAAAATTGAAATCACAGCATTGAAACAGCTTGAAGAATGATAAAATATTCATCCTAATATGAATAACGACTTTATACCTGTA